ACTTCTATATGTTTTCTTCTTTATTTATAAAGAAGAAAACATATAATTGCGAAGACAAAAACGCCATTTTGATCGCAAGACACGCCTCTACAACTTTTATTAGAAGTCTAACTTTAGCGTCACAGACGTAAAATGCCACAATTACGTTTTTGATATATTTACTATAAATATATCAAAAAGGTAATTTTGGTTATCACTTAACATAGAAGTATGAGTCCTATGCTTTGCTTTGGACAATGAGTCCTACGCTTCACTTCGGACAATAAATATATTTTAATTGCAGCAATTAGAATCCACAATGGCAAATATACCCTCCCACATATCCAGGCTTCAGCTTGGCATACACTACTAAAGCTAATCCACAATCACAATTGTCTACTACTTCAACTTTTACTTCTGATAATTTGATTCAGATTATTGATGAAATTTTTAAAAGAATGAATGACCTTATAGATAAGATGAATTAGATGAATCAGTATACAAAAAATTATTTTAATATTTAGTAATTTTTTTTAATAGCAAAATTAAGTTTTATAGTTGTCAAAATTGTATTTGAATTCTTTGTCAAAATATATTAGATAGTAGAGTAAATAAATATTATACATATATAATAAGATATATAAATTATGTAATATAGTATATATAGAGATTTAATATTGCATATTATATATAAATAAAATCAAATATTTTTAACGTTATTTTTTATCATCATAAAATTAGATGTGATTTATATTACTATTAATACTGTGAAAAGCCTTAAAAGCCTTATTTGTAATAGTCATCTGCATATCAGATAATAACCTTAATTTCTGAGCAGTTCTTAGAAGATTATAAAGTACTTACCCAGTCAAAAAATATTGGTAACATTGTTCTAAATATAACATGTTGGTTCAGTTAGAAGCTAGTTGTAATTATATATGTACATACTAATTGTTTATTATTTATATATTTACTAAGATTTTTTATATTTGTTTGCAAAATAATACTATATAATTTATCTTTCAAGAACATAATGACTATTTTTTAGCTAAATTAAGTTTAGCCTAAGTAATTATATACTACTTATATGACTATAAACTATTGTAGTTATTAGACTTAGCCTCTAGATAATATACATAACCAGTATCATAGGTTAATTAGAGGTTGGTGTTTCTTCTAAATATCTAGATCGATGGGTTAGAGCTTCTTCAAAGAATGTGAGTATTTACTTTTGTGGTTTACTTCCTTTTGTTATTACGTGATTGTTAAAAGATATTAGTTGGTTATTTATTTATCAAGAGATATGCACTAAGCAAAAACTTTTGTTCTTTATTTATTTATGATTCTTTTTGTGAAAAAAAGAATTTATTCTAATAACTATCTTCTACGCTCTTTTTATTTCATCTTTTCTCTAATCGATAAGCCTTTAACTCAAATTAATAATTAAATTATAATTATATTTTTCATGCAACTACTTAAATAAACCCTGAAATTATAATTACATTGATTAATCATAATATTTATTTGACTTTTGAACTATTAATTAATTACATCATTTATTTATCTAAATAATCAAATTATAAATTTAAATAATTAGGATCTCTTATTCAAATCGATTTGTGTACCAATTATTTATTAGTTGAAATATTTGAAGTAAACTATATCTATTATTGATTTTACTCTCATTCATTCATAGTCATATAAGTAGTATTAGGCTAAAAAATAATCTTAGTTATATCCTTGAAAGATAAATCATATAGTATTGTTTTGTAAATAAAATATATAATGTCTTACTTTTAAGAAACCTTAAATTAGTAAATATATAAATAAAAACAATTAGTAATATATATATACTTTTACAATCTTTTCAAGTAATTAAAGCTAGTTTTTAACTAAACTAATACTTTATATTTAGAATGATGTTGCTAATGTTCACTTTGGCTAGATGAGTACTTTATAATCTTCTATAAAAACTGCTTATATATACAGATATCAACCATTACAAATAAGTTTAAGGCTTTTTTACAGTATTACAAATTACATAAAGATAAAAAATAATTTTATTTATATGTAATATGCAATATTAACCATAAGGCATGATGTAATTCAGGCAAATCCTTCAGAAAATGCAGTACCTCATCAATAAAGCAGGCATGTGACATGGCCATCAAAAAAAAATTGATTCACTAAATTAAATATTCAAATATAAAAATTGCACTCTTCCCTGAACATATAAGTTTAGAAGACATATGCGGAATTGTTTATTTATTTTGACGCACCCTAGAATTTATGTTACACGGATCACAGGTGCGTCAGTCAATTGCCAAATTTGTGATTCAATCAAATTCAAACAGATTAAGATTCGTTAGTCAATTGACGTATTTGATAGTACAAAAAAAAGAATGAATTTTGTATGTAAGTACGAACGTATGGATTGCATCACTAACTTTTCAAGATACGTAACTTCAAATACTATGCTCTTATTATTGTTACTTTTGATACATGTATGTATGGTACAAGAAGTCTAAAAAC